CTATGTTCAGTCCGATTGTGCCTATCTTTCGTTCACTGTCTCGTTTTGGATGGCATATTGTTGGACAACATTGGTAATTATCTTAATTCTCAACGTCATGAGCGCTATAATGGAAATGTAAGGAAAGAGAGAAGTGGGGATACAGCTGGATGTTTGAGTCATGGAGTGGGCAGATATAAAGTATAAAGGGTCGTGGCAGGGGTGAAGGCAGTTTATGAGCACGATTTCTATAGTGATGTACCGTCATGTCCGTCAATGTGGTATTCCTGTATTTTAATACACACAGATACACACACACTTTGTCGCTGTGAATGTTCCGCAGGGTCACTTACCAGGAAGCCTAGTTTAAGCACATACTGATCCGCCCCGCCGTAAAGGAACCTAAATGGGTATGTAGTATACGTATTTGCTCCCCTTTTTTTAACGTATTCATTCAGGAGGGTCGATATGTGTCAGTGTATATCGGTTGGCTTGAGTTTACGTATATGAGAATGCAAAAATGCAGCGACTTATTAACTTTTTTCTTCCATGCCTAAAGGGTCAGGAGCCTCTGTGCGCAGGCGTGCGCAGAGAAAGTGCAACTACAGGCATGGGGAGAGAAACATTCATTACATACACGTGTGCTGTCCAACTGCAGGTCTGCAAACGCCGTGCGCACAATCGACGACATCCTCGTACTTACGGACAAGCACAAAGGAGGCAAAGAGCTAGTTCATAACGCTTTTTTGTTTGAGAGAAAGACCCTCTCAGACCTAGGGAGAAGGCGAATTGCAGAGCGCGGAATTCTTCAAAGAAACATCCATAATACACACATCCATCCGTGCCGAACCAACAGCGATGGCTAACGCAGAAAGACAGACTCAAAGCTAGACCGAAGGTACCAATAAGGACGCCGCCGAACCCAAACAGGACCTCTGGCCAGACGAACGCGATAAGCCCAGATCTCCTGCCTTTTGGCAACGAGGGACCAATGACAGGAGGGGTACAACATAGCTCTACTATCCTTTTCGAGATCTAGGGGTGCAGCGATGAGAGGCGGCATAGCACAAAGTCAGCCTAACTTCGAAGGCTGCAAGCCCATAATGCAATGGCACAGAGTGATAGAGTCAGCACGACACAACTCCATTATGCTTTCCGAAATCTTAGGGAAGGGGGAATAAATGAATGAGCAAGATTTTGTGATGACCACATAGCCCTGTGGCATAGTATTCATAATCAGATGTATTCATGTACATGAAAAAATATGCCATCTTCATCATCCCTTGCTCAATACTTCAGCGCATACGTTGTCGTTTTTCAGTACAAACGCTTTCACAGGCCTGCATTGGGACTATTTGTCCAATTTGCTAAGCCCGCAATTGTATAGAAAGCAAGAACGCCAGCCGCCTGGAGGCCGAGTTTACGATCAAAGACTCAGACGCAGATGAGTTAGCAAGCTGTCGTGGAGGGCGTCAATAAGCCAGTAGTCGGATGAGGTGTGTATCATGCATACTTCTCTACATCCCTGCGCACGCACGCCGGTACGTGCAATTTGTTGAGTTGGCGAGCTCTGTGTGCATTGTTTTTGTGTGACCGTTGCCCAACGCCTGCGATGCTGCCTGGCTTTTTGCTGCTGGCCCTTCCTCTCTGTTCTTCCTATCGCCCCTCGCTGCCTCTGCTTGCGCAGTTATTTGCTGATGAGCCACTGATGAGAGAGGACGTGCCTGTCGCCGCACAGTAGCGTACGAGTAGAGCAGTGCTGCTGATGCGGAGGGAGATGTGCCTGCCATCTCCACCCTGGCGCTGGGAGACGATAGCGTGCCCGTCACCAGCAGGGTTTTCCCGGTTGTATATAGCCTGGACTCTGTCTATTCTTTGCCGTGCTCTTGATGATGTGGACTCTGAAGCGGACCTCTGTGTGATGCTGTTGGCATGAGGGCGAAATTAAGGCGAGATTCGAGGGCTCCGTCTGATCCTTCTGGCCACGGTGTGTGTTCGGCACACAGCAACTTCAACATGACGGGCGGACCTTCGGCATCTCTATCGCTTTTTCTTGAGGTCGCTTTTCTTTGTTCGGAGTTTTTGTGGACGACGTCGGACTGACGACGACAACGACGACAGAAGGGGAAATCCTGATGCTCCTGCTGACGCTGTGTCAAGACGTGTGCAAAGTGAAGTACAAAAGCTTGCCTTTCTGCTGTGTTTTTGCTACATCTGCGGCTTGCCGTTGATTGTGAACAATTGCTTTTGCACCACGTGAATGCCTCTGTGTCTTGTGTACAGTCTTTATGCCCCGCTATACTTTTCAGGAAGCGTTGTGACTAGTTTGCTCTTCTCTTTCTAATGACTGTCTATTCTATCTCTGCTGATTGTCCACCTCCAGCTTCGCCGTGGGGTGAGAAGGGGTGTTGAGTTGGCGAGCTCTGTGTGCATTGTTTTTGTGTGACCGTTGCCCAATACAACCGGGCCTGACGTTTTGGCTGCGTGCTTGTGATCTTGCGTCTCGTGGATCGCGCCTTGCCTTCTCAGTTTGCTTTTTCGGCCCAGTGCTACTGTACAACACTGCCAAGGGCCTGGCTATCGTCTCCCACACACCTGAATCGCCCATCTGCCTTCCTGGTATGCATGCGTGCGGACACGGAAAGGGAACGAGGGCACGGAAATGGACGCATATGTGTGTGTTCGTGTGTGGGTCTGTGCGTCGTCGATGTGCTGTTGTGGTGTGGTATGGCAGGTTGTTTTTCGCACTCTTCTGTCGCCTCGCTGTTGCGTTTGGGTGCGCTGTACAATACTCTCTGGTTCGCAAGCGCACACACTGACTGGATGGCTGGCTTGTGTGTGTCCATCGTGTTGGTGGTGTTGTGTGGGTTGGTGGCAGGTTGGTTTTCGCACCCTCTGTCGTGTCGCTTTTCGTT